CCCACAGCTCCTTCAGCACAGCAGCAGCTCTCTGCTGCCGACGGGCAGCCCGCGCCAGGCCTCTCTCTGCTCAGCCTCTCGCACACCGTGAGAACGGGACCCAGGCGGGCAGACGCTGGCTCTGTAGAGCTGCTGAGCGGCAGATGGGAGCTGCAGAGTCCCAGGGGATGCCCTCCCCATGCTATAAGCATCACCCCTGCCTTGCTCTGAGCTCAGCCTGCTGCCCCCGGGGCTGCCGCTCACATCAGCAGCTCACCCCTGACCCCCATGCACAGCAGAGGTGCTGCCTTGGTGCAGGGTGGCTGCACTAGGGAGCATTATTCTGGACAGACTCTTCAAGGAGACATCCTTCCCCCGAGGGATCGGGCCCCATCTCCAAGCCTGACTTGGGGGTCAGAGCTTGCAACAGCCCTGTGCAGTCACTGGCTGCGGCCCCCTGTACGTGCATGGCCAGATGGATACCAGGGGTGAAGTGCAAAGCAGCTGCCCTGATTGGATCTAGTGTGTTGCTAAAGTCCTCGGGCCACCTGGTGCAGGGAGGGACATGGTCCTGATGCACATCAGAGGCTCCTGAGCGGACGGGGTGAATTCCCCCAGGGAGCAATGTGGGCTGGAGGAAGGAGACCAGGTCGTGCTCCCACAGCCCCAGTGGTGATCACCCTCCCAGTTCACCACTGCCCTACAGTCCCTTGGTGCCAGCTCATGGGTGCAGGGGATTTCTAGACAGAGCAGCCTGCACTGGTGGCTCTGCATTGCATTGGCACAGGGTCTGCTGTGGGGCCACCTATGCAGCAGCAGATTTGGTGCATGCAGAAGGAGTTCAGCTCCCTGCTGCCCCCATGTTGTTGTTAACCCCCACGGGGCTCCCTGGAGCAGCTGCAGGCCAAGGTGGTCCTCACACTCACAGCAGGAGCCCCTTTTGCTGGCCCTGCCAGGCACCATCCAGCCCCCTCTGTCCTTTCTCTGGTAGCAGAGCCAGGGCACGGATGAGGGCCCGAGGTCCTCCCCCCCTTGCACATGGGAGTGACAGCAGGGTTTTCCCCACACCCAGTTTCATAGATGTTAAGGGCTGGAAGGGACCTTACAAGGTCATCGGGTCCAGCCCCCCCAACTCAGCAGGGCAGCCGGGCCCCTGCAGACCAAAGCAGCTCCTGCCCCGAGGAGGAACAAGTGCCACCGCGAGAGGCTGGATAGGCAGCAACCTCCCAATCACATGCACACGTGCTTCCAGCCCCCAAGAGCCTGCTGCCCCCCGCTCCCTGACACCACCGATTGTAGCTAGCAGCACCACCCTGCCCTGCAAGCCGGTCTCCGGGGAATCAGAGCGGGATCCTGGTTCTACGCAAGCTGGCCTGGCTTTGGCCATATCGATATTGATTCTCCGCTCCCTGCCTCCTGCCTCTATCCTCCACTCCCTGCCCTGGCAATGAAAGCCCTTGCAGCTAGTGTGAGGAGAGCAATATAAGCAGAGGAGAATGGGTGTGTGCGTCAGCCTGAACTAATGTTTGAAACCTGCTGCCTCTCTGCAATCTTGCATTCAGCCCCAATGAACTGCACCTGGCCTGGGTCCCCTCCCAGCAGAAAAGAAGAGCCCTGGGCCTGCTGCCTAGCTCCCCCCTCACCTGGGGGCAGCCTTACAATTGCTGTGCCCACAGCCAGCTTCTCCCACGGCCTCTGCAGGCTTTCCTCTTCAGTGCCAGGGTTTCCTAGCCCTTTTTAAGCCCCTTTTTGCCTCTGTCTTCTCTCCATCCCATGTACCACCCCTGCCTACCCAGATGCCTCGCTGCTGCTTCTTGTTCTCTCTCCTCTGCCACATCCCCTAATACAGTATTCCCCAAGTTCATTATAGCTGCAGCGTTGGGGTTGCTTGGATCTTTTTGCAGGGGGCAGGGTTTGGGAAAGTTAAATGCTGCACACAGAGCAGTGAGGTTTGCTGGGGGCCAGGGGACAGAGCTAGACCATCAGCATATCACTCCTCCAAGCTTTTTTCCACCCAGCTGAGGGTGGCCCCAGATGCTCTGAGATGCCGTTTGTCTGAGCTGGTGTTTGCAGGGTCTCAGACTCGGGGCTTGCACGAGCTCTCAGGTGTAGCATGCATCCTCTTGATCCCTTCGTGCCTCAGAGCCTGGCAGGCAGGTGGGGAGAACGGCATCGTTCATCTATGTGGCTTGTTCAGAGGCAAAGAGAGAGATGCCGCAGGGCAGGGGCACTGGGCAGGAGCGTGGGCAGAAATCAGGTGTCTCCTGCTTTGAGATGATCCCGTCTGCGGGTGGGTAGGGAGGGACATGAAACCTGGCTGCAGCCTCTTGCAAATGCAGCTCCCTGGATGGGCTGCTTGGAAGGGACCATGGTTCAGCTCTTGCCCCAGCCCCAGCCCGGCACAGGCCAGAGAGTGGCTGGGGAGGTGGGAAAGGAGCAGGGATACTGTATGCTGGGCAGAAGATGATGACTGAGGGACGGGAGGGCTGTATTAATAGCAATAAATGAACAAAGCAGAACTCGTTACTGGTGGCTCCTGTCACCCTGGAGATAAACAAGTGACTTCCAGTCCTTGCTGGCAAGCCTTGTGCTAAGACTAGCAGCAGAGTGCCCTCTAGCGACTCCGCAAGGGAGGTAGCGCCAACGCCAGCATCCTCACCCAGCTCAGCCACAGCCCGCAGGGGAGCAGGACTGGGTGACCCCTGGGCCTGGGGTATGGCCCCCTTGCTGGCCATTGCCCCTCAGCGCTCCTGCAGGCTCCAGGAGGGAGAAGATCAGCAGCAAAATTCAAACAGGTGCCCCCAATGCACCGGTTTGAATGGGACGGTCCCTGCTGAGTGTGGGGCTGTGGGGGCTGGACCGGGCTTGCCCTTAGAGCGGCTGGTGGGGAAGAGGCAGAGGGTGGTGCAGGGATCGCTGCAGGGGATGCCCTGCCCCGGAGGAAGCCACTGGGACACAGGCCATTAACAAGCATGAAGCCAAATGCTGCTGCAACCAGGACCGTCAAGACCCAAGTGGAGTTTGGGAAGGAGCTGCAGATCTCTTACCCAGGGGCTCAGAACTGGGCAAGCTAACACCCCTCAGCCCGGCAGGACAGCAGGTTGGTCCGTGAGGGCGCTTGGCTCAGTGCTGCTCTTGCTTGCAGCAGTGTAAGCTGCGGGGGATGCCCTTGGGCTCAGGGGGCAACACCAGAATAACCAGATGGGAGGGAGAGGGGAACGGGTGCCAGGTGCCAACAGCCCGCTGTGCTCTCCTCTACTGCCTGGAGCTTCCCAGGTGCTCTGCAAGCATCAGCAGGCACCATGGAGATGGGGGCTTTATAAATACCTGCAATAATCATCATAATTAACGAACTAAAAAGGAAGGTGTGGGCTGCAGGCAGAGGAGCTGCGTACTGCAGGTGCCCCACTTTCAGCTGTCAGCTCAATCGGCTGGGAAGCTGGAGGAGTTGCAAGGCTTGAGCAATCTCAAAAGGCTCCAGATTTCATTTTGGAGCCATATCCCCAAGTCTGGGGGGCAGGGGCTGAGGTCCCAGGTCCTGAGGATTTGCAGCAGAGGGCAGGGAATCTCTGCAGGTCACGCTATTTTTCTTCAGGTTAATGTGACGTTGAGAGCATAACTAGAGACCCTTGAATGGTGAGCTTTTAGAGGAAATGGAGGCCATGCACCCTGCACATGAGACAATCTCAAGTGGTCAGCTGTGAGCCCTGGGTAGCAAGAAGCAGCCTCTGAAGACCAAGCAGGGGGTCAGGCTGGCTGGGTCCTAAATTGCAAGCCTTGGCGGACAGCACCTGCAGTCAGGGAAGAGCTAGGTTTAGGTAGCAAACGGGGGACCAGCCTTACACTGGAGGATCCAGGCTCTTCTGAAATGCAGCCTCTTCTGACCCGGTCTTGGAGGTAGAGCATGTTATGGGGGTCCGCAGGCCCTGCCTGATGAGTGTACATGTCCAGGCCCTGAGCAGCCACTGCAGAAGGCTGCAGCCTGGGACCTGCAATCCTGCAGGACCCAAGCTCTGCTCCGTGGTCTTTGAGGGAAAACTCTGATGTGGAGGGTTTGCTTCCTGAGCACATGCATTGGCCGTTCATGTCTACAGGCTCTTAGGCTTTGCTCAGGAAGGATGTCCTGTTGCATGGTGGAAGGACAGGGTCGCTGCTGTCTGCTGCTACTTCCTAGCTGAGCAAATCAGTTCACTTAGGGCCTGCTCCAAAACCCAATGGATCTCCTCTGCAGGGCTGACTGTGCACAGTCGGAGACCCCCACGCAAAGCCTGCCTTGCCACGGGGAGGTGTCAGACCGCACTCCTGACCTTGCCTTTTCCTTCACACTGCCCGGGGCAAGTAGAGAGGAACCGGTTCCCTCCGTGATCATTCTGTCTGTAGCTGCAGGACCAGGGGTGAAGGGCTGCAAATGAAGACACAGCAAAGAGCCAACGTTGCCCCTTCGAATCACCGATGCCTTCATGCCCCCACACCCACCTTTTAATATGGACAGCTGAGAATGGCCCAGTGACTGGGGCAGTGACCTAAGACCTGGAGTCAATTCCTTGTTCTGCCACTGACTTCTCGGGTGACCTCTGACAAGTCAACCAGCCTCCGTACCTCAGTTCCTCAGCTGTAAAATGGGTTTAAGAACAGGGGTGGCAACATTTTCCAGCGGCAGGCTGGAATGACCCAGCTCAGGTCTGAGGCAGGCCGGCACTAGGATCTGGCCACTTCCCCACTGCTTTTCCCTGTCTCCTGGCTGCAACGCAGCAGAGGCAAAGCCTCCTCCCCTCCCTGACTAGCTCCGAGGGCCGGATCCAAAGCTCCACAGGCCATAGGTTGCCAGGCCCTTGTCTAGCAGCATTTCCCTACCTCGCAGGGATATGGTGAGAGCAAACACATTAGCAATACAATTGTAAGGTGCTCAGTTGCCTCAGCGAGGGCGGCTGCATCTCATACCCTGAGCTACAAGGGGAGATTTTTTTTCCTGTGGGCAATTTTGAGGGGGGGAAAAACCATCTTTTTCTACGTAGGATTTTCCCTTGTGCAACTTTCAGGCATTTTGCTCAAATCAGACTTTTTTCCACCCCATTTTCAAAAACTCAAAGGGTAAGATATTCTCCCTGCTTTGAACGAACATTGTGTTTGGTCAAAAAAAAAAAAAAAAAAAGCTGAAACCTAAATGTTTCGGGAAGAAACCAGCAATGATCCTTTCCTTCCAAGCTCTGTTTTTCCCCCCAAGGCCCAGCTGACTTCTTCACCAACTGTTCAAGTGACTCTGGGGAGGCTCTGGGCATAGGAGCGGATCCTGGAGAACTGCGGGGAAAACCACAGCGAGACAAAAGTACTCAGGACACGGATTCAAGCACACTTTGCTTTATTGGGATAACACCACTTGTGTAACAGAGAACACGACCGCCACGAGGAGCCAGCCGACAAACCTGCCGTGCCCCACCGAGGGACATCTTCGGCATCACAGAATGGTCGACCCCGTCACACGAGGATAGCTGACACGGATAACACAGGGACCACAGCACGAGCACAGTCCTGAAGCCAAAACACTGCTTCCTCCCTTCCTACCCCCACCCCAACCCCGCCCCGGACACAAAACTCAAAGCCCACAGAACAAGGCAATGGTGCTGACGCATCTGGAAAGTGAGCGAAAGGCAACGGGTCTCCAACGAGCAGCAAAAAAATCACAGGCACCACAGTCACATTGTACGCTAGAGCGTGTGGTCGCATCCGTAGGCACTTGAGGGTCTGGAGAACAATCACCAGCCATGTCACTTGAACCACAGAGGACTGCAGAAAGCCACCCGGCTAATTTGACAGCTACGTGACACCACGAGCAGCGACACAGCGACACAAAACTCTGACTGGAACAGATGTATGTTCAACACATCCCTGGCGACGGAGACTGCATCCAAGCTAAGATGGACCACAGTGTAGTTGGAGAGCTCCCAACTTTTTTAACAATAGGTGAGGCAGCGTTTTACAGTGGTCAGAGCTGGGAACCATGACACCCCAAGTTCTGCTCCAGCAAGTCATTTAGCTGTCTGTGCCTCAGTTTCCCCACTTATAAACTGGACAGAGTTACCTACCTTGCTGGCACGGGGAGGCTGATCTAGTATTGATTGAATGCTCTGGTGTCCTCGGAATTAACAGTGTTGCCTGAATGGAAGCAATTACTGATCTTATGATGCTGTATCCAGCATGTCACGGGTTTCCCATTGGAGAACAGGCTTTGCAACAAGGGAGCTATATAAACCACCCCGCACAGCTGGAAGCCAGCGCTCCAAACTGCTACGGCTAAACCCCTTTGATGCAGAAGCAACCTCCAGGAGTATCCTTCCCTGCTCAGCTGGCAGAGGCTGAGGGAGCTGCCTTCTCCATGCAGCTGGACTTCGATGCTGCAAGAGGCATTGCTCCAAGGTTCAGATCTTTGCAGCCGCCCAGCCCCAGTCTTACCCTCACCGTCTCTAACGGCTTGTGAACTGCCAACAACAGATCTCAGCATCTTGATGAGCATGAAGCAAGGTCACCCTCTGGTGGCCTGTCCAGACAGCCCGCACGGCAACTTTGAGGCCGTGCTGGAGGATTTCACAGCAGCACTCAGCAAGAGCTTAACTAACACAAGGTTAAACACCCCCCTGTGAGTCCAGCGGAGAGCTCTCCTTTCCCTGGCCAGCCTGTATAATTCTCAGCTAAAGCAAAAGCCTATCCCATCCATGCTAAACCTCTCCTGTCGGTACTTTGGTTTGATACAATAACTGGACGCTTCCTCAGAGCTGACTTCAAGTTACAAGGCAGCACTCCGGGCAATCCTGCAAGGAGCCTGTAGTACAGGGACATTCAAATGTTGGCAGATTATGCCAGGGTTGCAGGTGCAGAGACCTGGGTCTGGGCCGTATGGAGTAGTACAGATCTCCCCAAAAATACTCTGACTGCATGTCTTGTGGGAGCTGTCCCTGGAAACCAGCACAGTTCCCTATTAACCAGCAGGGCTGAGGTCTGGGTCATAGCTATCTTAGATGGACCTAGTTCAAGACTCTGCTAACGTCTTTGTAGTGAGAACCCGAGAGAGAGCGAGCAAGAGTTGGGCAAAAAAGAGAGGTAGGTTTTGCTCTTCAGTAAAATATTACTATTACCTCAGATAAGTTCTCATCTGCTTACTGATCTGCAGGCTCCCCCTCCCTGGGGGTCAATGCACTCTGAACCGCAGCCTCTGTTACATGGTTGAGCTGGTAATGCGGAGAGCAGGCTCAGAGAAGCAATAGGAATGACCTGCCAGCCTCCTGTTACATTTGCAAACCAACACAGAGTAATTTTAGAGCAGAGTTAGCAGCGGCGATGCATGTTTTACAAGTTCACAGAACTGCTCTTGGGCTAATCTGACTGTCTCAAGACCATGCTAAAAAGCAGATGGCCAACACGAGTCTCTGTGTGCTAACATGCATGGTGGCTGTTGCATACAACACGCTACAGGTGGTGTGTATTTCCCTTTTTTATTATGAACGGCCCCTGTCTCTGATGGCACATCCTATCTCTGCCGCTGGGCCGCAGCTTGAACAACCAGAAACAGCTTCCTCTGCAGACGCACACGCTCTCCATACTTTTTTTCCCATACACACTCAATACATCTATGTCCCTCACTCAGTACATCTTCTAGACCCTGTATCTATTACAGACTCATACAAGGGCTAGTTAGGAGTCACTGAGACTTGCATTTACATTGGAAAGTCCGAACCACAAGGCCATATGTTTGTGTCGGGGGGTTATAGTAACCGGGGAGATTTTCTGTGATGTTCTCATTTTTCTGTGTGAAACTGAGACATTAGACTGTGACTCACATCTTAAGGACATGCTGAGCCTCTAACTGAAAAGCCATTTGGAATGATTGCTAAAAGCCCATAACCTGGAAGCATCTAAAGTGCTTTGAGTGCATAGAAATAAGCTCCTATCAGATAATGCAGCATTGTGGACAGAGCTGTTGTGACACCACCTAGGACCTGTGTGCCAAGCCTGTCTGACCCACACGCCACAGGCCTTGGCATCTGCACATCTCTGCAGCCGTGGCTCTCTGAGCTGCCAATCTGGGCTTCAACACCCACTATGTCTGCTGTGAGAGCCAGGCGCTCCCCAGGAAAAGGGGGTCACTGTGGGACGGTTTGCATTGATTAACGCTTCTGGTATTTACAAAGCTGAGCCTCGCGGGTGGCTGGGGGGAGCAGGGACATGAGGCGAGGTGATAGGAGGGTGCAAAAACACTTAAAAAACCCAGTACATCTGGTCACTCCACCTACCAAAAAAAAAGCAGCTCGCATCACATTGCTTTTAGCCAGGGCCTTGCGCTGGCTCTGCAGCACACCGACACCACTTCACAGGGTGGGACAGCTACGGAACAGGGTAATAGCTACACACACAGCTAAGCTTTCGGTTTGCTGCTTTCCATGACATGCTACTTGAGACAGGAAGAGCAAATGACCTGCTTGAAAAGGAGTGTTGCAGCTCTCCGGCACTCCCGATGCAGGGGCTGGTACATTAATAATGCCACACAATGACATGGGCATCTTCTGTAACATCCGAATCGATGCCCTGTTGAACACACATGGGATGCCAGCAGTTTCAGGGACTAATTTGGAACATAACCAGGAAAGGCATGGATGCATTCAGAACTGGACCACACTCTTGCAGCCTGAGCTGACAAGACACATATTTGAACTGGATCTGAAGACAACAGGAGGAAGCATCTTGTAACCTTCTCTTGTGAGACAAACACAACTCCCATCCCAATCTGTTCACACAAGAGATTGTATGAAAACCTACTTCTTCTTTTTCAGAAATGCCTGCTCCAAAATTCATGGTTGAAAATGCTGGTTTCCCATGAGGGCTCCCAAATCAATATTTTTGCATCAGAAGAAAGTCCAGTGGTCTCTCACTTCTTCCCCCTCTTTTACTTCTCCTGGAGGGAAAGACCCCCTGCCCCCAAAATCCAAACCCTGCAAATGGCAACTGACATTTTTCAGTTCCCCAAGACCAATGTTAAAGCTATATTCTGGGTTCAAACAAAAGAAATATATATTTTTAGAGTTCTCTTGTCAGAAAAATTAAAGTAAAGCAAAAATCACTGAAAACATTGCCTTTGCCCTCTATCCCTTTGCAAAGATCAACTTCAACGGAATCATAGTTTCTGACAGAAATTGTTTTTGGTTGAAAGCATCACGATCAGCTCCATTTCTCACATGTGAACCTGACCTCTTTCACTCCCTTTCACACAATCTCACATCTTCCAACTTACCCAACCATCGATAGCCTCCCAACTCACCCAACCATCAATGGCCTCCCAACTCACCCAACCATCGATAACCTTCCAACTCGCCCAACCATCGATGGCCTCCCAACTCGCCCAACCATTGATAGCTTTCCAACTCACCCAACCATCAATAACCTTCCAACTCACCCAACCATCGACCGCCTCCCAACCATCGACAGTCTTCCAACTCACCCAACCATCGACCGCCTCCCAACCATCGACAGCCTTCCAACTCACCCAACCATCGATAGCCTCCCAACTCACCCACCCATAGATGGCCTCCCAACTCACCTACCCATCGATGGCCTCCCAACTCACCCACCCATCTTTTCAGGCACAATGAAACCTGGCCCCAATTCAGGGAAGCCTTAAAGCATGTGCTAAATTTTCACTTGTTTTAATGGGCTCTACATGGGTGCTGAAGTGAATAGGGAGGTTTTCTTGATTCACGGCCACGAGCTTGGTTGTACAAACCTCCCTGAGGTGACAGCATCCCCCGCATCCTGGGGTGACGGTTCAGATGCAGTCACCCTTCAGCCGCAGGCCATAATGAGGCCTGCACTGTCCCCATTAATGAGACAGGTACAGTTATGTGCACGTTGATCAGAACAAGCCAGTTGTACTGTGAGGTTTGTCATGGAAGGGTCATATTCTGGACTGCAACAGGCTGAATCTGGTCCTTACCGAGTCTTTAATAATCACTCTATTATGAACTAATTGGCTGTGGTGTATTTAGTTGAATTAACATGTTTTTGACAATTGTCACCCACAGCATGTTCCTGGCGTTAGCTGGAGATAACAGGGATGGTTCTGGTGACTTTGCTGAGCACTGGAGTCTGAGGATTACAGTTGCCTTCCACTATGAATAACTGATTCAGGATGGTTTCTGCCGAGCAATTACACTCACTGAAGGTCTGTCAATACAATTTGCTATCAGTTGTCACTTTGCATTAAGCAGAGTGGATACAGGTACCCACGGATAGTGCCTGTCACAAGCGCTATGGCATTCCAGTCAAAACACAGCACAGAGAGGATGGGAACAAGTTCAGCAGCAGTGCCGGAGGGAGGGGGAGGGAATCCAAGGGGCTTGCCAGGCATCCAACCCAACTGGGAGATAAATGGTTTGCTCACCCCATCTGGAGGGCCAGTGTGAGACCCAAGGGGCAAGGTGTGACACACAGGCATGTGACAGGTTTGCAAGCAGACACAAGAAGGTAGAACCTATGCACAGGGAATAATGCTAACAGGAGAAAAGGCAGCCACACCAATAATGAAGGAGCTCTGCCAATCTGGCCAGGACAGAGGAGTTTGGCTAGCAGGAGCATCAAAGAGCCAGGTGCACAGCAGGGCAGTGGAATATTTTCCATCTGAGTCAGGAAACCAAAGTGCAAGAGGGTCAAAACCACTGGGCAAATGGCTTCAGGTTGGAAGTGCAACTCCAAGGCAGGCCCTTTAGCCAGGTGGTTTCGATCGGATGTAACATGCTGCACAGCCTCTCTCGAGACTGTAGGCTGTGTCCCGACAGGAGGGGGCTTTGATAGACCAGAGAAGACTTTACTTCTTAGGACACTGTCTTGTCTCTACTACACTAAGCCAGAAGTGCTTGGGAAAGAGCTTGCTTTCTTCAGCCCATCCTCTGCACGTTCCAGGGAGTTTACTGACTGCAGATTCTGCCCCACAATGCCCCTGCTCTGTGGGCACGTGATGCTAAGGCACGTTGTCAGCTGTGGGGCAGTCCTGGACACCAAGGAATTTGGAATTAGAGTGGGATCTGAGCACTTAATTCCTGAGGACTTCGTGGAAAATCTCAGCCCAAATCCACCCCTGGTGATCAGTGAAGCCATTCCATGGCCAGGGCCAGGAGAAGGTAGCTTTTCACCCATCTCCAATAGGAACAACACTACTGCTGTTCGAGTATAAGCTACCTGGACACTCAGTCACAATCTGCATTTCCATTGCCCTTGACCTATGGGAAGGAGCAGATGCATAAGCATGAATCCTGAGACAAGAGACATAGGATAATCTTCACTAAAAGGCATTCAAGACTGACAGTGGGGCACTGTCAGGTGCCTCTGGGGAGCAATAAATAAATCATGCTGCAAATGCTCTGCATGAAGAGCAGAGGGGAGCTCGGTAAGCAGGAGAAAAGTGGGTGGGTGGATCAGACGGCTGAGCAATGCTTTGGGATTCTCTTCCTGGGAGCAGCACTGGGGACCAAAGGGAAGCTGCCCAGTGCCCAGCAAAACCAGACGTGCTCTTCCTAGTTACCAAATTGTCTGATCCTTTCTGCTGAGACAGTGGCCTAAATAACATCCTTCTGCAGGAAGCAGCACAGGACCTTGCTTAGGCTGTGAGAAGAAGAATCGCCGAGCGTGGGATTTTGAATGGATCTCAGTCATGGGTTTGCCAGTGCAAAGCCTTGTTCTAATAAACGTGCACATCACTGCTGGAGCAGAGCTCAGTGTGTCTTTAAGGACTAGTCCCTGTACCCTGGGTGCCTTCACAGACAACTGCCTGGATCTCCCCCATGCCCCTGCCCCTCCTAGACATTGTTTGGGTTGTAGCACAGCAAGTTGAACTCAAGGTTCTCATCCCAGTGCCTGAGCAACACAAAGAGCTGCCGGGCTGCGGCCTTCACGGTGGCCAGGCCACAGCCTGGGGGGAACTCCTGCTCACTAAGCCACATGCTGGCTTTGGCAGCCACCAGCTCCCACTCAATGAAGTAGGAGGCCGAGCTGTGTTCCAGCCAGGCCAGGGCGACTGCCGTGGCCCAAAGCATCCCCTCTGGCTCAGTCCGCTGCTGCAGCTCAATGTCAGACAGCAGGGCCTGGAGCTCGGAGTCATCTGTCTCAGAGCCTCTGCCGCTGTCGCTCTGCAGCTCCGGAGGAGGCTGGGTGCTCTGAGGGGAGAAGCGGTGGATGGTGATAGCAGGAGGGGAGAGTTCATTCTCAGCTTGCAGAGCCCTGGAGAGGCTCTCAGCCTCGCTACCTGAGAAGTGGCGAGGGCAACCCCCATCCTCCTGGCCCTCGCCATGTCCATTGGTCAAGGGACTAGAGATGAAGTCCCTGTCAGAGGAGCCTTCTCTACGAACATCACCAGGCACCTGGAGCTGCTGGCCATAGGCTGGGCTCTTGGCTTCCCCAGGGGTGTCTGGCTTCCTCGTGCTGTAAGAGCCAGCAGAGGGGCTGAGAGTCATCCGGTGGCAGGAGAACGGAGAGGTCCACTTCAGTTTCTCCATGGGAATGTTGGTTGCATCGCAGAGCGCTGAGTTGAGCAGGAAGGCACCACAGGCCAACTGCAGAGATACCTGCAGGGAGGAACCATAGTGCTGCCTTAAGGAAGTGCTGCAGTAAGGTCCCAGAGAAGATCTTTTCTGTAGCCAAGGCTGTGGATTACCCAACCTAGCAAAAGTCTACCCCAGCTACACCCAAGCCAGGCTGGGACAGCAGCACTATGGGCAAGCCAATAGTTTCCAGGATGATCACATGCAATAGAGCTGCTTGTCATCTCCTCTACTGGGTAACACTTTATTGCTGCAGGTCCTCAAGTCGCAGAGTCCTCCTCAGAAGCAATAATTCTAGCTCATGCTCTAGCAATACGCTCTATCTAGAATATGCAAGTATGCAGCGATCATGAGGAAGTGTAAGTTAGGAATCAGAAGGTGACTTCTAAGCATCACCTCCAAGGAATGAGGTCCTGGAAGAGCCTTCCAACAGGAGTAGTTGGAGCAAACAACCTAACCTAGGCTGGGACCGGAAGAGCTTATGAACAGGATTATAGGACATAGCTGTCTGCAGTGGCAGGGAACTGGACCCGGTGATCAAAAAAGTCCCTTCCATTCTTATCTTCCTATGCTCCATTATACCAAATAGCAGAGGTCTGGTTCGGTGGCTTACCAGGGGTAGATAGTCTTTGTTCTCATTGTCGCTCTCCGAGCTGGGCTCAGTCACCCTATTTGGAGATTTACTCATGAAACCTTTGGCCGCACGAGTCAACAGTCTTGTTTTATTAAGGGTCAACCTGCACCAAGACAAAGTAACAAGGGGAGGTATAGGCCACGTAAGTCAGGCAGTCCAAAGACACATGCACCTGGCCTGCTGCCAAGCGCCTGCTCACCTGGCTTCACCTGCAATACAGAGCAGCCCATTGGTCCCCTTCTGAGCTATACTGTGACCAGTATGGGGAGTTCTCCTTGCTCTGTACAGCCAGCGCTGCCCAGTAAAAATGTAACTCTCCTCTAGTTAAGTCTCTCATAAAATACCCAAACTGAGAGGAAACTTTAGGAAGACCATCATTGCCCCATGCCTCAGAAGTAAATTCTTCAGCTAATTACGAGTATGTGACCCCCTAAACCCTAATCCTTTCTTTTGTCACTTTTTAGAAGAGCTGTGTGACTCATACAGTTTGACAGAGGTTTCCAGGGACTGGAGCCAGAGAGTCCAGGCAGCATAAAGAGAATGGGATGAGCATGTTGGTGCATGAGAAAGACAGGGGGCTTTTCCTTTGATCCCTCATCTCTTCAAATCACTGGAGAAAAGTAAAGCTTACAGTACCTAAGTGACTTAAGACCCAAAGTCCTGCTGACTTTCAGTAGGCTAGGGCCTGCACAGTTTCTTCATATCAGATGACATGAACATACCTCCATACCCACATAAATGGGTGGCTTGAGGAGGGAGTAGCAGAGTATGTAGTCCTCTAGGTCACTGGTTCCAATCTAAGCTATGTAGGTGCTGAATGAAAAAGTTACCATCTAATGAATGCTCAGTGCACTATGGATGGGTGTGGGAGCTTCATGTTGCTTTCCAGTGGGCTGAGATGTGAACCTACTGAGAGCCCTGCTCAGCAAAGACACTCAGGACTGAATGGGCCATCACTGAGAGTGACTCTCCTCTGTCACACCAAAGAAAAGGTGAGGCAGAGTGAGGACACTTGTGTTGCACTTTTTTCTAAATATATAAACACTAAAGCCTCCCTGAAGGAGTCTCTCCTCTCTGGTAAACAATCACTATCAACTGGCTGCAGTGGGTGGCACGGAGAATCCACCCCACGTCTGGTCTGTTCACCCCACTCCTACAAGCATGGCATTTATACAACACTTGTAAACTCAAAAATTAATATGGTGTATTGTCTAGATCCCAACCATCAGTCTCATCTTTCTGGCTAATTCTCCCTAATCCCAGCTCACCAGCTGTCTGCTTAGGCCATTAAACCAACTAAAGCATGCCTGGGGTATAGCACTTACAAAGCAAGACTGTGCTGTGAAACTTATGGCTGATATGACCCTTAGTCTCAAAGCACATCTTTGCTTCTTGAGTTTAGCCTGTTCCCCATCTGCAGGATGCAGATACTCTCCCAAGAAATATACAGGGACTTGTGGTCAAACCCACAGCCAGAGAAGATACTAGACATGGGGCTTGTCTCATCAGGGAATGCTCCAGTTGTCTCTTACCTGGCAGCAAAGAGGCTCTCGATGGACTTCTGGGAGTGAGTGGAGGAAGCAGATGGACTCTGCAGTGGAGCTGGGGAGAAACACAGACACAACGATGAAATGAAGAAACCTCTGGTCCGATGGGAGAGTTAGCCCCAGAATTCAAGGAGTATGATCTATACACTAGGAGACTGGGTTCCCAACTGTTCTTCAGGGCTTTGACATCAACTTGCTTTGAAACCTTGGCCAAGTTACTTCATCACTCGCTGCCTCCTTTTTCCCATGCGTGTCACAAGGACAATAATATCCTTCCACCTCTCCCGAAACATTGACCATCTCACAGGAGCTAGTCAGAGCTTTGAGGCTCTGAACTCCAGGCCATTCCATGAGGTGCCTAAATATGGGTTTATGGGCCTAATTTTACTCAACAATATACAGAGATTGGCCAAAGCAGATTTAAATCATTCAAATAAGATCCTATATCACCAACTGTTGCAGGAGCAGTTCAAAAGTCTGAACACAGGTTACTAACAAACTCTTTCCTCTTCCACTTGAAATATCAGTTGGATGAAATGGCATTGCCCTGGCCTCAAGGTATAACACAAATGCCCCCCCTTACCTTCCGGGAAACTGTAGCGCTCCCAGCCGGAGGAAGATGGGGTACTGCAGGGCGACAGGCCATTCTCTTCCGTATCTGCAATAGCAGAAATACAAAAGCAATGTCATCTATCTACATATGACTCTCACCTCCCTAAGCCTTGTCTTGGCCCTCTGAATTGCACGTACAGCCCTCACACCCTCTCCCAGCATTACTGTCCTCCTCATCCTCTGCTGCATGTATCACCATCATCACATCTATGACATGCAGCGCACCCAACACATCCGTTACCTTGTTCATTCACCAGACTCCCTCTTGCCCCTCTCAACAGCCTCTTTATCATCCTTGGCTCCAACCTTCCCCATGACTTCAAGACTGTGCCTCTTAGGTCCTGTTTTCTGCACTGTTTTCCCCTTTGCATTACCTGATGGCTCCTTCAATGCATCTCAAGTCTACGTAGGAGAACCATCTTCTGGTGGGGAGAATCCCAGCCGCATTCACGTTCTATCTTACCAGTGGATCTGGCTGGACGAGGGAAGATGTGACTATTTGGGGCATTTTATCACGTTAAAAAGAGGTTACCAAAGGGTCAAATAGTTTGGCCATGACTCTCCATGAGTCTGAACACCTGGATCCTGCTTCTGTTGGCCAACATTTCAGTCCACTCTGGGTCAGGAACTGGGTATTCCAAAGAAACTGAATAGGGGTCATTTCTACTCCCTCTCTGCCACCAACTTGCTATTTTGATGCTGGCTCAGTCACCGATACTCATTTCCACGTCTCTAAAAGTGGGTCAAGCCTTACTCTCCAGGATTCTCCGCAGCTGAATGTTCAGAAAATACCTCAGGATCCTTGACAGGCAGGTCCTTTAGGAATGTGTGTTCACCCATATTCCACATTGAATTCATTCCAGGAAGAAAAACCTTAGAATGTATCAGTGTCAAACTCAGAAGTAAGCCCACACCAACATGCAAAATGTGATTCAGCTCATAGAAAGGAAATGAGAAGCAAATTACTGCATCATCAGATCATTCTTTTGCTGCACCTGTTCATTTTTCTTTAAATTTCCTTTAATGGTGTCTCCCCCTGTATAGACACTTTTTTTCCTCCTGCTTCTCTCTCCCTGCCTCTCCACCTTCCAGCAGCTGTTATTCCAGCTGGATGGAGTATTGATCAGCTATCTTGGCAGCTCTCTGAGTTGCTCTGAGGATACAATGGGAAGCTAAAAGGTGGATGGAGGCATGGCTGGAGCACAGAGATAATGTAATTGGATTTTCCGTACTTGGCTCTTGTGGGATTGGACCTAAAGCCCACTGACATCCGTAGAAAGACTCCCACTGACTTCCAGGGGCTGTAGATCAGTCCCATACTGTAGAGGGGTGCCATTCAATGATGCTTCTTCGAAGGTCTGTCCTGCAGAGGGAGCTCAAATGGCTTCACCATGCACTTTGCTTCCTTTTCATTAGAGCAAAATGTCAGCTTTAGAACTGGAAGGGACCCCAAAGACCATATAGTGTAACCCCTATATCAGTGGTTCTCAACCTTTTTTAGACTCAATGCACCCCTGGAGAGACTTGAGGCACCCTTGGATAAATTTGAGGCACCCCTCAAAAATTCCAGCTCATTTTCACTCTTTTTTGCCTACAGAGAAATAATAGAGAGGTTTTTCAGTTGCAAAGAACTCAGAAAGACTCCAAATCTGGATTTCTGTTTGAAATCAATGAGTCTATCTTGTGAATCATGTCCACAAAGCTAATAGTGCTAACATTGTGGGGCACCCTGTGGAGCCCTTGAAAGGATCCCAAGGCACCCCACAGTGCTGTGGCTCCCCCCTGGTTGAGAATCAGTGCCCTACAC